CGTAATTGCTCGTAACCCAAACTTAGACCAACAATTAATAAGTTGTTACTTCAAATTAGTTATACAACATCACATTCGAGAACTTCTCACTAAAATGGATACACTCCAGTGACAATCAATTGATCAAACTCTACGAAAACTTGCAGAAAAAGCAGGTTTTTTCAGACATCTACCGACAAGACTACAATGGTGTTTTAAAGACATTAAACACTCTAACTACCTGAATGGAGAAAAATATCGGCCAAAAATATTTCACTAATTAATATTTTTAGAATACTAAATATAAAAAACGAACTCCCAGCATTTGTAGTGGCCGTAGTACATCTTAGAACGATAGACTGACTATATTATACGCAATGCTTGCTTTCATAGGTTTCCTCTTCTCACTATTGAAAGGAAACTATAATACAAACGCAAAACACACAGAAGTCATTAGACAAGCTGAGCGTAGCACGCATTTTATTTGCAGCAATTTTTGAAAAATGTTCAACCTCTATTAACAAAACACACAAATTCTTGACGCACAAACTCTAGTATTGACGCACAAACTAGTGAGTATTATAAAATGTTATCTACATTACAAATACGACACCTTCAGCACCATCAGATTTACACAGTTTAAAAAATAACCATCCTCTCTCAGTCCCACAAAGTTATAGAATTACACTTTTGTCCAATGAACGAATAGTTCATTCTAATAACTTACAACGAAGCCCCAAGTCTCATAAAACACTCAATCAACCCACTGCTGACGACACGTGAACAAGTGTTGAACAACCGCAAACCTCAAATTTTTGATCTCAAAACAATCATCTTTTTAGCCCTCGATTAGCCGCCTTCAACCGTTCCCGTTCCTATCCATCCAATACCCAACGCCACAATTCCCTCATTACAGTCTCAGGCCTCACCTCTTCCCCTTTATTTTTCTAAACTACCACGCAAGGACTCAGATGACACAAATCATTCAAATTGTAATACCATATATAGTTTTAGTAACTTCGACTTTGAAACTCCCTATGAATTCCTCGACTCTGAACCCAGACCCACTTATTTTTCCAAACCACCCTTTCAACCCATAACTCCAGCTACCCCTGTTTTTTTGAACCCTCTCTTTGTTCTTCCTCGCACTCTAACGCTACCCTTATTCTTTTACCTTTCTCAAGTAATGCACCCGATGCACCCAGTCCAATCAAAGACGACCAATTAGAACATGATCTAGATGAATTTAGTACTCACCAGCAACATAGTCATAATACAAATAACTCCCCTCTGTCCTCATTGCCACAACGCATGCACACAGAATTGTCATGAAACGAAATTACCCTAACGCTAACCCACAGTTTTTCATTAGCCGCTCACAATCATCCCGACTTTATTCCCACCACCTACATCAATCTAATGCAACTAAATTTTCAATTCTTTACCTTCCTTTTTTCCCCAATATACCTACTACAACGGAGAAAACACAACTCAACGAGCACAATATGTAGATGAACATTCCCTACTCCCCACACTTTCATGGATTTCCTACTATCACTTTACTAACCATTAAAAATACCCCTAAGAAAGATTCTCGATGATAACATTTTTTGTGACTCTATCATTTACCAAATTACCAACGCACTTCACCTTAACTAATTTATAAAAATAGGACTAAACCAGACTGAACGAAACACTAAATAGATTCAGTGCTTAAAAAGCTAACAGATATCCTTTTAACAATTGCGGTCAAATTGCTGTAAGATTTATGTAAGATTCACCATATGACACTGACCCTAACATCAACGCACAATTAACCAAAAATTTTTTTTTTATTAAATCAGATTATAATTTCCATCTCGATAGTACAAATAAAAAGTGGACCACATCATCGACCACGCACTAACGCACACAAAAGCTTACGAACCATTTTAATAGTAAATTCGATCACTTTGCCCTCACTTTTTAATTTCTAACACCAAAAGAACGAGATATTAACTGGTCTAATGAATGTATGAAATTAACACACACTTACACTTATTATAAGATGATCCGACGACAGTATCTTCACAGTTTACCTTCCCGCAATCCTTATCATCGCTTCATGCTCATTTATTCTAAATTCACAACTCGTTAATTCCTACACAACTCGTGGAAATTCTTTGGCCACTGCTTTGCGCTAAAAATGTAATACGCATGCTTGTCAAGCTTTCAATAGCTTCCGACAAACACAAACTTTCAAAACTGACTTTCCCCATGGATTTTTTCCCGACCCAGAATCTTCATTAGTATGTAGTTATATTCTTACTAACCTCAATAAAAACCACTCACCTTTCTTACACTTGTGTTTCATTTTTTCCTTTCAAACTTCTTCAGTAATTCATCTAAAAAAATAAAATGAAACAAAAAGAATTGAAAAACAAACTCTACTTAAATTTTTCAACCTTCAATCTAACTATGTTCCATAAACTATATCAAGGACGAAGAAGTAAAATATTTAAGCTTTTCAAGTTTGCTTTTTAAAAAAATCAAATTTCTCAACGCCACTTGCCCACATTTTACGCACTCTTTCCACCAAAATCGAGTAGCTCGCCCACGTAGAATTGTTTAACAAATCAGATTCTAGTTTCACAAACTAACTGATAAAAACTTTAACTAATTTTCACGCGTTTTCAAAACGGTTCCTTAACCCGGTTGTAAAGAGCTATAAAAAAAATTAAGCTAACCAACGCAGCTTACTAAAGCCACAAAACCAACCGCATGTATGAAAAAGTCTCATGGTAAAGTTGGATAAATTTTTCTTTTGAGATCCGCTTTAAAGTTTTAGCAAGACCACTTGAATACCCAAAGAGCAGCGCAAAACAAAGAATCTGTTTTTGATGAAAGGACAACCAAAGAACAAAAAACAAGAAAAACACCTGATAAAAAAGAATAAAACGTTGAACATCAAAAGGGACTCTGCTCAAAAAGACGGTAAAAATACACATTCCTCTCGCCTCACCCACCAGAACGACGTCGCTGGAAGTACATGTGTCCACCATGTGCTAAAATCCCGACCCATAGTTTTTGCTATAAGTAGCTCTATGCTGAGCGACTCTTTGTAATAGCCGAACTAATAAAACGCTTTTTCGACAACAACTACTAAAAATCCTAACTAAAACTGATCTAACTAACAAGATGCAGATATAAATTTACAAAAAAAAAGATTTCTTAAAGCAAAATAAACGAGCAGCAAAGAGATAAAAACTCGATGACATTCCGACTCTGGAATGGCGAATCTATTGGTTTTTTGCCCTAGTCACAACCCTCACAAGGTTTGAAGTATGAAACCAACATCGTTGCAAAGTTACCCATTGAAGAAGAACAACGGCCAACTAGCTGTTGAACTCACATATGAGTCCTAGTCACTTGGCGCTTCACACAGAGAAGTCAAATTTTATCTCGCTATTCGATGAACAGTCGAAAATGTACGTAGTCTCGCTCTAATTTATCGAAATCAACACATCATTGTTTAAATCTGAAATCTTGACTCGATCACTCAATACGACCTCTCAACACGGTCTGGATAAACGAGACATCTTTTGAAGAACTAGCAACTGTACCCCTTCTTTCTGTACGAAGACAACTACTCCCTAACACGAGCAACTGTTCCTTTCTCCTCCTCACGCAACCACTGCTTCAAAAGAATCCACTCCAAGAACAACGAAACTTCTCCATCCATTCTTCACAACAACAAACATTAAACTTAAAAATTTTCTAAACCCCGGATGGGTGGAACCAGTTTAAAACTAGTATTTATATGCAATTATTTTATTGATAAAAATATCTCTATCAAATACTTCTTACTAATCAATCATGATCTATAACTAACAGTTAAAACAATTTGTAAGGCTGAATTTATTTGTAGTTTCAGCCAGAACAGAATTAATTTAACTTATCAAGCAGCTGCTCTTCTCAAGAACAGTTCCTGATATCTTATCTCGCAAATACCAGTATACACTAGATCTTTTGAGACTAGGAGATATAAGAGTGAAATTAAGATCGATATTAGACTAAGAAGTTGCAGGATTCTATCCGGCCGAAAATAAGGTAGCGTGACGAACAGACAGTGTACCTTATCTGAAATTACTCAATGAGTGAGCCACTCCGGACTTAAACTCACCTGTTTGAGACTTGCTTGCAGTATTTTCATGATTTTTCTTTGATGCATTTTTTCTCACCCTCAGGCAACGAGCACCGACTAAAGCGGACCTCGAGCCACTGACCTTTCGACTGGTTTTACGACGGAGAACTTAATCATCGCAAAACAACTCTCCCATCGCTTGATTCCTGAATGAGAGATTCATCCTATTTTTCCTGGTTTATCGAGCGGTTGCAAAATTTAGCCAGAATACATTCTACTATTGTACTTGCATTTAGTATCTGAGTAAGACAGTATTGTTTGGAGGAGCCGAAGGCGCAAAGGCATCCCAGCTCAAATTCAAAAATTGCTTGATAGTGGGTTATTCACAAGAAAGGAGAGCTCCTCTGATGTCCCATCCGAAATGAATAATATCTCTGATTACTTCGCTACTCTACAATTGGTGAAAAAAGTAATAGCCTTTTATACATGTATGCTCATCAAACCCAGCTATTTCCAGCTACTAGACATCCCGCTTGTCATCTAAAGTCTGCGCTTCCCGTGTTAGTATCTTTGTAAAAGATCTTTGAGCGGAACTAAATGCAGAATGTGAGATAAAAGGCGTGCGAAGCTATCCAAAGGCTTAACCACAGAAGTTGTTGCTGTTCAAAAAATTATAAATTTCACCAATAATTTTAGTATGTTTCTTCAATGTTTTTGGCGAAAGAGATTCTTTGTTATTGTTTTTGAGATAGTTTCTTTAGGAGTGTTTTTGTGTTTAGAAAGTCTGTTTATTGAAAATGTTGCCCACCCCTATCTCGAAATTGTGTTTGTGCTGCTTGCTTGTAGCCGCACTGTGTGTTGTAGTAGATGCAAGTGCCGAATGGGTTGTTCTGTTTAGTGTTTCTGGGCAGTGGGGGCTGTGGCGATGGCAGCTCTCGCTCTAGTCATCATGCCCAATCTCAGCTGGCGGTTCCTCATCTTGTTCACAGCCCTCCCAGTCGCCGTCTTCATCACACTTGCCTACTTTGTCAGTACTCACACATTATACGACTGTTTGAACCTCTTTGATCGGTCCACAACTTTTCCCCATTCCGTTTTTCTGCCATGAGCAAATATATGCAAAACAATTTCGGTCGAGAAAACCAAAAGATCTTCAAAACAATCATTTTTGGTCGAGAAAGCCGAAGTATATCTGGATTAGGTCGAGCATAGCTTTGTTTGAATTCACGACATACCCATATTTGGTCGAGAAATTCGAGACCCAAGTCGAATACCCCTCCATATTTGGGCTATGAATGCATTTTTATAAAATATTTGGTTGCAACCATTTTGAGCTCACATCTGTGGTAGAAATGCGCAATTGAGGTTGCCTCTTTCATCTTTTCAACCCCCCTTAAACTCACGCTGTTCTCAATTAACAAGTAAATGAATTTGCAGTTGTTACCGGAGAGTGTGCGCTACTTGGAGGTGACAGGGAACAAAGAGGCAGTTCTCAAAACTCTCCAACAGGCGTCCAAATGGAACAGGACACCTATGCTTCTGGGAGAGCTTGAGGTTGAGACAGATTCGAAAGCCAGAGGTCGTTTTTCAGATCTGTTCTCCACTAGGGAGTATTCTGTCACTACAGTACTTGTGTGGATTTTATGGTAAGAAAATTTCGAATTTCCTCGCAAAGATTCAATGATTTCACTTTTAAAGAAACAAATGCAATTTAAATTTCAACGAAAAATTCCACATTAGAATTTAGTTCCCTCTCACTTCATAGAGTTTCCTTTAAATTTTTTTTTGGGAAACTTAAATACTTAAATCTTGGAAGAACATCTTAGATATTTAGCCATTAAATTTCAAAAAGAGTTGGGCTACACTTTTTTTAAAAATAAACCCTTTATCGAAAAATTCAGTGAGGCTCGGAAAACTTAATTGATTGCTGGTAGGGACAACTTACTCTACCACTACCCACCGGCTACCAACCGAGATAGGAAGCTTAATTATTTCTGACCAGTTGAACTATTTAAAGAACATAGGGTAAATTGGCATAAAGTAATTTGGCTTTGGTTAGATTAGAATATAGAGTAGATTAGTATGGGGTAGAAAAGCTTAGGGTAAATTGGCATCGGGTAGATTGTCATGGAACCGATTCGCTGACTTTAGCAATCATCCCTAAAATTTTTTTTTATTGATAAAGGGCACTTTCAAGGGACACTTTTAAGCTCTGACTTTCTAATTTTAATAAGTCAACACAGTTGATGCATTTTTAGTTCATCAAATGAACCGAAAAAAAGTTATTTGTTTCAAACAACATAACAATAAAGAAAACTCGATTTCAGAAATTTTCTAATTCAATATATCTCTAAATTTTTTTAAATGCATAGGTTACACATAATGTGACTTTATGCTTCGGGATTTGTTGCATGCAAAGTTAGTATATATGTCTTCAGTTTGTTATATTCCAAACTATTGCATGCAAAAATGAGTCTACTTATTTTTGGTGTCAATTTTGCTGAATCACATTGGCAAGTTACCAGCATATGTAGCTGCTTTATTCGTGACTAGTGTTTGTCGGTTGTTAGGCTTGCGTGGTTGCGTGAGACTTAAAATCTCTTGGTTGCAGTAGGTCGCAGATGCTACACGTAGCCTGAGTTTTAACTAATTCGAGGCTTTTTTCTACTTTTTCTTATTTCACTTGATGGAGCTGCTTTTTGGTCGTGTCCTTGCAAGGGTTTGCGAAACGCAGCTTGGCCTTTGTATAAATCATTGTAAAGACCCTATTTTGACCAATTGGTGTAATTAATTGAGTTTTTTTTTCGCGGAGAGTTTTTTTTATTTCGTTGAAATTTGTTGTTTCGTCGCTTAAGATAAACAGAATACACATGAATTATTATGCTAGCATTTAAAAATCTTTATTGACTTGGATCATGGACTTTTTCTTCCAAATAACTGTTGAAAAACAATTATAGAATCAATTTTTCAATCTGTGTTTCCGTAAACCAACAGGCATACTTCATATTTTTTTGCCTCAACGTTACTTAGCAAATTAGTGTTTAGCAAATTAAACCTTTAATTGTTCTGTGTGATATGTTTTCATAATTCTTTTTTCAAAACAAAATGAGACCCACAAAGATAAATTCTTCCCATTTTGTGGTCAGATCACCGGAGTGAGGCAATAAATAGTGTTTTTTTGTTTTTTTTTTGTTGATACAATTGTTTTTCTCATTAACTGTCTTTTCGTCTGCTTACCAATTTCGATGGTAAAACGGATTTTTGTTATGTATGATTTTTTTATTTTAAGCAACCGGGTTGAAATGTTCAGTCAAATTTCTGGGTGTCAGAATTGAGCAAAGTTTTAGCTTTCGACCAAACAATTTAGTCGATATGCGGCTTTAGGCCGAGCACAAACTCAAACGCGGCTGCTTCATCTCAAGTGCGGATTAAAAAGCTCCAAAACTGATGTAGAACTGTGGAAAAGAGTACCCAAATGGTTATAAAACTCTTTTATTGATACCGAAGAGTCGTTATATTTATGCGTGGCGTCCACCGATTGGGTGTGTAGCCCGTCTTTTAAGATTTCCTGTCACACCACTCTACCTTGTAGATTCCATGCAAAACAATTGTGAACGTACTTAAGTACCCAAACACCACTGCAGTGAGGGTACCCAACAAACAAACAAAAACTCAATCTATCAACCAATCAGAAATGATATAAATCAATCTGCAACACCGACAAATGGGAACATCAGAACAAATCAAAACAATAAATTGTAGCAACAAATCAGAACAACAAAGTCCAAATGTTTTGTCTTGAATTCAAAGTAATACGTGAGGCAAAAAAATACGTTCACCCAATTGTTCATCTCATTAGCTGTCGTTTTGTCTGCATGCCAGTTGCGGTAGAATGAGTGAATGTGTTTGGTATATTATATTTTTCAATTGACTGGGTCGAGGTGCTCACTTTGTTTTTCGAGTTTCAAAAATAAACAAGATTTCATCACCGTTCAAACTTACACGAGCACCGTCGAAATATACCTAGAGCACCTTGGAAACATACCTCTAGCTTAGTCGAAGCATACCTCAAGCATAGTGGAACAATAACAACAGTACGGTTCAAACTTACACGAGCACCATCGAAATATACCTAGAGCACCTTGGAAACATACCTCTAGCTTGGTCGAAGCATACCTCAAGCATAGTGGAACGATAACTACAGCACGGTTCAAACTTACACGAGCACCGTCGAAACATACCTAGAGCACCTTGGAAACATACCTCTAGCTTAGTCGGTGCATACCTCAAGCATAGTGGAACAATAACAACAGCACGGTTCAAACTTACACGAGCACCATCGAAATCTACCTAGAGCGCCTGGGAAACATACCTCTAGCTTGGTCGAAGCATACCTCAAGCATAGTGGAACGATAACTACAGCACGGTTCAAACTTACACGAGCACCGTCGAAATATACCTAGAGCACCTTGGAAACATACCTCTAGCTTAGTCGAAGAATACCTCAAGCATAGTGGAACGATAACTACAGCACGGTTCAAACTTCCACGAGCACCATCGAAATATACCTAGAGCGCCTTGGAAACATACCTATAGCTTAGTCGAAGAATACCTCAAGCATAGTGGAGCAATAACTACAGCACGGTTCAAACTTACACGAGCACCGTCAAAATTTACCTAGAGCGCCTTGGAAACATACCTTTAGCTTAGTCGGAGCATACCTCAAGGATAGTGGAACAATACCTACAGCACGGTTCAAACTTACACGAGCACCATCGAAATATATCTAGAGCGCCTTGGAAACATACCTATAGCTTAGTCGAAGAATACCTCAAGCATAGTGGAGCAATAACTACAGCACGGTTCAAACTTACACGAGCACCGTCAAAATTTACCTAGAGCGCCTTGGAAAAATACCTTTAGCTTAGTCGGAGCATACCTCAAGGATAGTGGAACAATACCTACAGCACGGCTCAAACTTACACGAGCACCATTGAATTATACCTAGAGCGCCTTGGAAACCCAATTGTTCATCTCATTAGCTGTCGTTTTGTCTGCATGCCAGTTGCGGTAGAATGAGTGAATGTGTTTGGTATATTATATTTTTCAATTGACTGGGTCGAGGTGCTCACTTTGTTTTTCGAGTTTCAAAAATAAACAAGATTTCATCACCGTTCAAACTTACACGTTCACCCAATTGTTCATCTCATTAGCTGTCGTTTTGTCTGCATGCCAGTTGCGGTAGAATGAGTGAATGTGTTTGGTATATTATATTTTTCAATTGACTGGGTCGAGGTGCTCACTTTGTTTTTCGAGTTTCAAAAATAAACAATATTTCATCACCGTTCAAACTTACACGAGCACCGTCGAAATATACCTAGAGCACCTTGGAAACATACCTCTAGCTTAGTCGAAGCATACCTCAAGCATAGTGGAACAATAACAACAGTACGGTTCAAACTTACACGAGCACCATCGAAATATACCTAGAGCACCTTGGAAACATACCTCTAGCTTGGTCGAAGCATACCTCAAGCATAGTGGAACGATAACTACAGCACGGTTCAAACTTACACGAGCACCGTCGAAACATACCTAGAGCACCTTGGAAACATACCTCTAGCTTAGTCGGTGCATACCTCAAGCATAGTGGAACAATAACAACAGCACGGTTCAAACTTACACGAGCACCATCGAAATCTACCTAGAGCGCCTTGGAAACATACCTCTAGCTTGGTCGAAGCATACCTCAAGCATAGTGGAACGATAACTACAGCACGGTTCAAACTTACACGAGCACCGTCGAAATATACCTAGAGCACCTTGGAAACATACCTCTAGCTTAGTCGAAGAATACCTCAAGCATAGTGGAACGATAACTACAGCACGGTTCAAACTTACACGAGCACCATCGAAATATACCTAGAGCGCCTTGGAAACATACCTATAGCTTAGTCGAAGAATACCTCAAGCATAGTGGAGCAATAACTACAGCACGGTTCAAACTTACACGAGCACCGTCAAAATTTACCTAGAGCGCCTTGGAAACATACCTTTAGCTTAGTCGGAGCATACCTCAAGGATAGTGGAACAATACCTACAGCACGGTTCAAACTTACACGAGCACCATCGAAATATATCTAGAGCGCCTTGGAAACATACCTATAGCTTAGTCGAAGAATACCTCAAGCATAGTGGAGCAATAACTACAGCACGGTTCAAACTTACACGAGCACCGTCAAAATTTACCTAGAGCGCCTTGGAAAAATACCTTTAGCTTAGTCGGAGCATACCTCAAGGATAGTGGAACAATACCTACAGCACGGCTCAAACTTACACGAGCACCATTGAATTATACCTAGAGCGCCTTGGAAACATACCTATAGCTTAGTCGAAGAATACCTCAAGCATAGTTGAACAATAACTATAGCACGGTTCAAACTTACACGAGCACCGTCAAAATATACCTAGAGCGCCTTGGAAACATACCTTTAGCTTAGTCGAAGAATACCTCAAGCATAGTGGAACAATAACTACAGCACGGTTCAAACTTACACGAGCACCATCGAAATATACCTAGAGCACCTTGGAAACATACCTCTAGCTTAGTCGAAGCATACCTCAAGCATAGTGGAAAAATAACTAC